CTTCATCTATGCTGATGATCATGCCATCACCACTCAAGCAGGGATCTTTGAGATGGTGGAACAGAAGCTCTCAGAAGCTCTGGGTCAGTAGTTCTCAACCTTCCTCATTCTGTGACCCCTTAATACAATTCCACATGTTGTGGTGACCCCCAACCATAACATTATTTTCGTTGCTACTTCATAACTGTCATTTTGTTACTGTTATGAATCATAATGCAAATATCTGATATGCAGGATGTATTTTCATTCACTGGACTGATACACCCAAACTTGAATACTGGTGGGGTTGGGGGTGGAGTTGACTTTGCCACTTGGGAGTTGTAGTTGCTGGGATTTATAGTTCACCTACAATCAAAGAGCATTCTGAACTCCACCAACGATTGAATTGGGCCAAACTTGGTACACAGAACTCCCATGACCAACAGAAAATCCTGGAGGGGTTTGGTGGGCATTGACCTTGAGTTTTGGAGTTGTAGTATGCCTTCATCCAGAGACAATAGTGGACTCAAACAATGATGGATCTGGACTAAACTTGGCACGAATACTCAATATGACCAAATGTGACCACTGGTGGAGTCTGGGGAAAATAGTCCTTGACATTTTGGGAGTTGTAGTTGCGGGGATTTATAGTTCGCCTACAATCAAAGAGCATTCTGAACCCCACCAATGATAAAATAAGGCCAAACTTCCCACACAGAATCCCCATGACCAACAGAAAATACTGTGTTTTCTGATGGTTCTTAGTGACCCCTCTGACACTCCCTTGTGACCCATTGAGGGGTCCCAACCCCCAGGTTGAGAACCACTGCTCTAGGTGCTCTTACTGCCAATTACAGGGAAAACCAGCTGATCCCTAATCCATCTAAAACACAGACTTTCACCTTAAGAACAGACAAGCATCCCAAGCTCTGAGGATTATTACCTGGGAAGGAATCCCACTGGAGCATTGCCGCGCACCCAAATACCTGGGAATCACTCTGGACCATGCTCTGACCTACAAGAAGCACTGCCTGAACATCAAGCAAAAAGTGGGCGCTAGAAACAATATCATATGAAAGCACAACCTTGGGATCACAACCAGACACAGTGAAGACATCTGCCCTTGCGCTATGCTATTCTGCTGCTGAGTATGCATGCCCAGTGTGGAACACATCTCACCACGCTAAAACAGTGGATGTGGCTCTTAATGAGACATGCTGCATTATCACGGGGTGTCTGCGCCCTACACCACTGGAGAAATTACACTGTTTAGCCAGTATTGCACCACCTGACATCCGCCGGGAAGTAGCAGCCAATAGTGCAAGGACCAAGGCAGAGACATCTCCAGCTCATCCTTTGTTTGGGTATCAGCCAGCACGTAAACGACTTAAATCAAGAAATAGTTTTCTAAGATCTACAGAGACACTCGCTGGAACACCTCAGCAAGCGAGAGTCCAAAAGTGGCAGGCTCAAACCCAGAACCTCAATCAATGGCTGATACCAAATGAGAGACTCCCCCCTGGGCAGACAGATGAAGCTCCAATGTGAGGTAAACCTCAGTGTGCCTCGTGTATGAAGCTCCAATGTGAGGTAAACCTCAGTGTGAGAGATGCCTCGTGTATGAAGCTCCCATGTGAGGTAAACCTCAGTGTGAGAGATGCCTCGTGTATGAAGCTCCCATGTGAGGTAAACCTCAGTGTGAGAGATGCCTCGTGTATGAAGCTCCAATGTGAGGTAAACCTCAGTGTGAGAGAAGCCTCGTGTATGAAGCTCCAATGTGAGGTAAACTTCAGTGTGAGAGAAGCCTCGTGTATGAAGCTCCAATGTGAGGTAAACTTCAGTGTGAGAGATGCCTCATGTATGAAGCTCCCATGTGAGGTAAACCTCAGTGTGAGAGAAGCCTCGTGTATGAAGCTCCCATGTGAGGTAAACTTCAGTGTGAGAGAAGCCTCGTGTATGAAGCTCCAATGTGAGGTAAACTTCAGTGTGAGAGATGCCTCGTGTATGAAGCTCCAATGTGAGGTAAACCTCAGTGTGAGAGAAGCCTCGTGTATGAAGCTCCATGTGAGGTAAACTTCAGTGTGAGAGAAGCCTCGTGTATGAAGCTCCAATGTGAGGTAAACTTCAGTGTGAGAGATGCCTCATGTATGAAGCTCCCATGTGAGGTAAACCTCAGTGTGAGAGAAGCCTCGTGTATGAAGCTCCAATGTGAGGTAAACCTCAGTGTGAGAGATGCCTCGTGTATGAAGCTCCCATGTGAGGTAAACCTCAGTGTGAGAGATGCCTCGTGTATGAAGCTCCAATGTGAGGTAAACTTCAGTGTGAGAGATGCCTCGTGTATGAAGCTCCAATGTGAGGTAAACCTCAGTGTGAGAGATGCCTCGTGTATGAAGCTCCCATGTGAGGTAAACCTCAGTGTGAGAGAAGCCTCGTGTATGAAGCTCCAATGTGAGGTAAACCTCAGTGTGAGAGATGCCTCGTGTATGAAGCTCCAATGTGAGGTAAACCTCAGTGTGAGAGATGCCTCGTGTATGAAGCTCCAATGTGAGGTAAACCTCAGTGTGAGAGATGCCTCGTGTATGAAGCTCCCATGTGAGGTAAACCTCAGTGAGAGATGCCTCGTGTATGAAGCTCCAATGTGAGGTAAACCTCAGTGTAAGAGAGATGCCTCGTGTATGAAGCTCCAATGTGAGGTAAACCTCAGTGTAAGAGAGATGCCTCGTGTATGAAGCTCCAATGTGAGATAAACCTCAGTGTGAGAGAGATGCCTCGTGTATGAAGCTCCAATGTGAGGTAAACCTCAGTGTGAGAGATGCCTCGTGTATGAAGCTCCCATGTGAGGTAAACCTCAGTGTGAGAGATGCCTCGTGTATGAAGCTCCAATGTGAGGTAAACCTCAGTGTGAGAGAAGCCTCGTGTATGAAGCTCCAATGTGAAGGTTGAACTTTATTTGTGTTATGGAAGTGTTCTTGTGAATAGTGTAACAATATTATTTTACTACAAAGAAAAGCATCCTATGGAAGAGATAACATTGGTCTGTGCGTTTTTGTTCTTTCTATCACTTTGGGATACTGGTGCTGGGTAACACTGCTGCTAATAAGTTACTCTGCTGTGCATTTATGAGGAGGGTCTTTCATTAATAAGCCCACTTACTCAACAGATACACCTTCTGTCAAGCCGGCATTTCACTTTCTCCATGGAAATATCATAGCTTAACAGTATTCCATATCACACGATTTCAGTTCCAAGGTTACAAATGTCATTTTCCTAATTGTTTCTATCATAAAAACATGGAAAAAGTTTATTGAACTGCAAAAATTTTGTTTTTTGTGGGAGGGACATCATCCTGCAGCACACTTTTGCTCTAGTTTTTCAGTGAATATCAAGTCTCAAACAATTCAACATAGTTTTTAGCGCAAAAACAAAGTTTCTGGAGTAGACCAACTACTTTCAAAGTAAGTACTCTACAATTAAACAGGAAATAACACTTTCAAACTAGGAGAAAAAATATTTCAAATTTTGTTCCATAGGGTAACCCATCCTTCCTGTTCAGGATTTAAGAGCAGCCATGCGCTCATCCTTCAGGAAATGAGTCGAAAGAAAACAAAAGGGAACAGATCCATTTCTGGCTCATCCGAAGGAGTGGAAGGGTCCTTGGGTGGCAAAGGAAACGAGGGAAACCTAAAGCCTGGGAGGAAAAGGATTGGCTGCAAACACCAAAAAAGTAGGCGGCGAGGCCAGATGATGGGAGCCAAAGCAGAACATCTTGGGAACATCTGGATCAGCACATCGGGGGAACATCAGCACACTTCACACACATCTTGAAGACGTCTGCCAATTTTCCACTCCACAGCGATGTAGTTGCAATAATAATAATAATAATAATAATAATGTTTTATTTATTACCCACGTCTCCTGGTAGGTAGTAGCAATAATAATAATAAGAATAATAATGTTTTATTTATTACCCGACTCTGCTAGTTGTAGCAATAATAATAATAATAATAATAATAGTTTTATTTATTACCCACCTCTCCTAGTAAGTAGTAGCAATAATAATAATAATAATAATAATAATAATAATGTTCTATTTATTGCCTGCCTCTCTTAGTTGTAGCAATAATAATAATAATAATAATAATAATAATAATAATTTATTTATCTTACTTATTATTATTATTATTTATCCACCTCTACTAGTAGGTAGTAGCAATAATAATAATAATAATAATAATAATAATAATAATAATAATAATAATGTTTTATTTATTACCCACGTCTCCTGGTAGGTAGTAGCAATAATAATAATAAGAATAATAATGTTTTATTTATTACCCGACTCTGCTAGTTGTAGCAATAATAATAATAATAATAATAATAGTTTTATTTATTACCCACCTCTCCTAGTAAGTAGTAGCAATAATAATAATAATAATAATAATGTTCTATTTATTGCCTGCCTCTCTTAGTTGTAGCAATAATAATAATAATAATAATAATAATAATAATAATAATAATAATTTATTTATCTTACTTATTATTATTATTATTTATCCACCTCTACTAGTAGGTAGTAGCAATAATAATAATAATGTTTTATTTATTACCCGCCTCTCATAGTAGGTAGTAGTAATAATAATAATAATGTTTTATGTATTACCCACCTCTCCTAGTGGGCAGTAGCAATAATAATAATAATAATAATAATATAATGTTTTATTTATTACCCATCTCTCCTAGTAGGTAGTAGCAATAATAATAATAATAATAATAATAATAATAATAATACTTCAGTGGAGACTTATTTACCCCACCATAATAGCTCTTTCGGATGTGAGTTTCCCTCACCTCTTGTTGTCTCACCTGTGTTCTTAACTATGAGTCGTTTGTAAGTCGGATGTTTGTAACTTAGGGATGGCCTGTATCCCATTGCTCTCCTTGCCTCATCTCAACTATATTGCACCGCAATCCCAGACACACTAGAAGGTGTGTTCACGTTTCATGTACGCTTGCCCACTCACCATCCCCTTCCACCTTCTCCAGCGTGCGACTCCAGACGATCTGCCGGCTCTTCGGACGGACTTGGAAGGTCCTCCGTTCAGGCCGTTGGGACTTCTTCTGGTAGAACAAGGTGAGGACGGTGCCCACCTCCAAGGCACTGAGGATGCGGGCCATGTCCGGGCCCCCGGCCTCGGGCCCCGAAGGGTCCTCCACGAAGCCATTGACAAAGCTGTTCAGCCTGGAGAGAGACATCTCGGCTTCCTCCTCCTTCTTCGCTCTCCTTGTCCTCACCGTTGCATGACTCTCGTTGCAAGATGGGAGGAATCCCACAATATATGTTTCCAAATATTCCCAAATCCTCTGCTTTATGGGTATCCAAAAATCCACACTATGTGTCCCATGATAGGTGGACCTTCAAGCGTTCTCCAAGCAGAACATCCAAACAATGGTGCAAATCCAGTGCACGAGGGATTCTGAGAAATCACCAGGACTTCTGTGTTTCACCAATTCTCCCTCCTTCCTTGAACGAGGCGGCCACTTCACCCCATCCGACTAAGGTCACACATGGAAATCTGGAACCCTCCAAGAAAAGAACGAGAGAGAGAGAGAGAGAGAGACAGTGAGAACATACAATTATTTGGGTGTTTGTTTCATTTCCAATAGAAATGGCTAACTTAACTATTCGGTCGAAGCATAAATAATCGGAAACGTTGTTAAAAACAATCGGGAGAGGAAACGACTTGCACAGGTTTGGAGATATATTATTATTATTATTGTTATATCTATTTATATCCCATGGGTTCTCTCCAGATGGAGATTCAAATAGAAATAATAATAATAATAATAATAATAATGTTTTGTTTATTTCCTAGTAGGTAGTACCAATAATAATAATAATAATAATAATAATAATAATAATAATAATAATGTTTTATTTATTACCCGCCTCTCCTAGTAGTAGCAGCAATAATAATAATAACTATAATAATTATAATAATAATGTTTTATTTATTACCCACCTCTCCTAGTAGGTAGTAGCAATAATAATAACAACAACAACAACAACAACAACAACAATAATGTTTTATTTATTACCCATCTCTCCTAGTAGGTAGTGGCAATAATAATAATAAGAATAGTAATAATATTTTTTTATTTATTACCCACTTCTTCTAGTAAGTAGTAGTAGTAGTAGTAGTAATAATAATAATAATGTTTTATTTATTACCCATCTCTCCTAGTAGATAGTAGCAATAATAATAATAGTAATAATATTTTTATTTGTTATCTATCTCTTCTAGTAGGTAGTAGCAATAACAACACAACAACAATAATAATAATGTTTTATTTATTACCCACGACTCCTAGTAGGTAGAAGCAATAATAATAATAATAATAATAATAATAATAATAATAATAATGTTTTATTTATTACCCACCACTCCTAGTAAGTAGTAGCAATAATAATAATGATGATGATGTTCTATTTATTGCCTGCCTCTCCTAGTTGTAGCAATAATAATAATAATAATAATAATAATAATAATAATAATGTATTTATTATTCACCTCTCTTAGTAGGTAGCAGCAATAATAAAAATAATAATATTTTATTTATTACCCACCTCTCCTAGTAAGTAGTAGCAATAATAATAATAATAATAATAATGTTCTATTTATTGCCCGCCTCTCCTAGTTGTAGCAATAATAATAATAATAATAATAATAATAATAATAATAATAATAATATATTTATTATTCATCTCTTAGTAGGTAGCAGCAATAATAATAATATTTTATTTATTACCCACCTCTTCTAGCAGGTAGTAGCAATAATAATAATAATGATGATAATGATGTTCTATTTATTGCCCGCCTCTCCTAGTTGTAGCAATAATAATAATAATAATAATAATAATAATAATGTTTTATTTATTACCCCTCTCTCCTAGTAAAGGTAAAGGTAAAGGTAGTCCCCTGACATTAAGTCCAGTCATGTCTGACTCTGGGGTGTGGTGCTCATCTCCATTTCTAAGCCGAAGAGCCAGTGTTGTCCGTAGACACCTCCAAGGTCATGTGGCCGGCATGACTGCATGGAGCGCTGTTACCTAGTAGGTAATAGCAATAATAACAATAGTAATAATATTTTTACTTATTACCCACTTTTCCTAGTAGGAAGTAGCAATAATAATAATGCCCGAGCGTGCCTGCCCCTACGTCCCACCTCCCAATTTAAGATCATCTGGGGAGGCCCTGCTCTTGCTCCCGCTAACATCGCAAATGCACCTGGCGGGGACGAGAGACAGGGCCTTCTTGGCGGTGGCTCCCCGCCTGTGGAAAACGCTTCCAAGTGAGATAAGATCGGCTACATCCCTCCTGGCTTTCAGGAAAAAAAATTTAAAATTGTGGTTTTGGGACCAGGCTTTTGGACAGCAGACTTAATTAACACTTTGGTTGGAAATTGATTGGACCACCCACAAAAAGTGAAAATCCGCGAAGTAGGGATGCTATATATGTTGCAACAGCAACCATTCATAAACTGGGAGGCAAAAACCTGTGAAACAGCGAGTCTGCAAAAAGCGAACCGCAAAGTAGCAAGGGAACATTGTATAATAATAATAATAATAATAATAATAATAATAATAATCAATAATGATAACCAAAGTTGCTGTAAGTTTTTCAGGCTGTCAGGCCATGTTCCAGAAGCATGCTCTCCTGACGTTTGGCCTGCATCTTTGGCAGGCATCCTCAGAGGTTGTGAGGTGAAAGCCTTCGACAATACAATAATAACCAATATAATAAGAATAAATAATAACCAATAATAATAATAATAACCAATATAGTAATAAATAATGATAACTAATAATAATAATAACCAATTATAACCAACAATTATAATAACCAATATAGTAATAAATAATGATAACCAATAATAATAACAAACCAATATAATAATAAATAATGATAACCAATAATAATAACCAATATAGTAATATATAATGATAACCAATAATAAGTAATAATATCCAATATAATAACAAATAATAACAATATAATAGTAAATAATAATAAATATACTAATAAACAATAACAATATAATAATAAATAATGACCAATATAATAATAATATAATATATAATAACATAATAATAAATAATAACCAATATAATAAATAATATCCAATATAGGAAAAATAATACTCAATATAATAAAAATACTAAGAACCAATATAATAATAACCAATAAAATAAATAATAATAACCAATATAATTGTTATTATTTATTATATAGTAGTTATTAATATTTATTGCAGTTTCTTAAGTCCCTCCTGACACAAAAACCCCAATATAATAATAAAAATTAATAAATAATATCCAATGTAACAATAAAAAATATTTTATATTAAAAATATTATAAAATAATATTGTTATAACAATAAAAATAATAATAACAGATATAACAATAGCCAATATGAATAATAATGCACAATATAATTAATATTATTCACTTACTTCATAATATCCTATGTAATAATAATGAACAATAATAAACAATATAATAAATTATAATACCCAATGTACTAATAATAAATAATACCATTGTAATAATAAAAATATTAGTAACAATATAAAAATAATAACCAAAGAAGAATAACGATAACCAATATAATAAATAGTGCATTTATTAATTTGCTTACTTCATAATAACCTATGTAATAATAATTAACAATAGTTATAATATAACAAATAATAATACCCAATGCAATAATAATAAATATTACCAAGATAATATTAAGCAAGAATAATAAATAACAAGCATTATAATACATAATAAGCAACATAATAATACATAGTAATACCCAATATTATAATACCATATAATATTATTATATATTAATAATAACCAATATATTTAATAATAATAATAACAATCAATTCTATATAATCATATAAAATAATATATAATAATATCCAATATTATAATACCATATATTATTCTATATTAATAATAATAACCAATATATTTAATAATAATAACAATCAATTCTATATAATATAAAATAATATCCAATATTATAATAATACCATATATTATTCCATATTAATAATAATAACCAATATATTTAATAATAATAACAATCAATTCTATATAATAATATAAAATAATGTATAATAATATCCAATATTATAATAATACCATATATTATTCCATATTAATAATAATAACCAATATATTCAATAATAATACCCAATTCCTAATCCATGCAGTAGCATTCCCCACATTGCATTTGTTTCTTTATGAGGATATCAAGGGAGAGTTGCAAACTAATGCCTGTCAAGGTGTCAGGAATGTGGGGGGGAAAGTGGGGTATCTCCCTCTCTGTGTGCCCCCTTTTTGGAGGGTTCAAAGGAAAGGCATTGGGGGTCAAACCCAGGCCTTGGAAAAACTACAGATCCCCGCAAACCCAGCTCACCTGGTTGCATGTGGTGCCTATGCCCATCTGCAAAGGGTTCTGCAAAATAGGGAGTGGAAGCAATGCTGCAAGGCCAGGAAAGCTTGCAAAAAGGGGACTCCCTCTCTTTGGGCACCCACTTTTCCTTTGGCTGCAAGGCTCCCCTTCTTCCTCCTCCTTCTGGTTTCCTTCCTTCCCCTTCTGCTGCTTAATGGCCGGAAAGAGCTGAGAAAGGAATTGAGGGAAGGGAAGGGGAAGCAGAAGGAACAGATCCCTGGATCTTGCAGAAAAGCAGAAAAATAGGAAGGAGGAGGAACCTGGGAAGGAAGGGGAAAGGCGCAGGGGGGGAGGCAGGGAGGGGGAAACAGCGGCGCCCAGCGGTCGCGAAGGGGAACGACAGGCCACAAGGGAAAGCACAGCCAGGCTGCTGGTCACACACTATTAGAGTTCTTGTTGTAATATAATATAATATAATATAATATAATATAATATAATATAATATAATATAATATAATATAATATAATATAATATAATATAATATAATATAATATAATATAATATAATATAATATAATATAATTAATATAATATAATACAATATAATACAATATAATACAATATAATACAATACAATATAATACAATATAATACAAAATAATACAATACAATATAATATAATATAATATAATACAATATAAGACAATACAATATAATACAATACAATACAATACAATATAATACAATATAATACAATATAATACAAAATAATACAATACAACATAATATAATATAATACAATATAATACAATATAATACAATATAATACAATACAATATAACACAATACAATACAATATAATACAATATAATATAATACAATACAATACAATACAATATAATATAATACAATACAATATAATACAATATAATACAAAATAATACAATACAACATAATATAATATAATACAATATAATACAATACAATCTATATATATAAATCTGTTAGGTTGGTTCAACCGGACAGCAAAACTCCAGAACCCCCCAACGAAACTTAACCAAAATTCCCATGCCCATAACACAACCCACAAGGTACAAACATATCTACTCAAAATGAAAAACAACACAACAACACACTCACAAAACGGCAAAACAACAAAACTCAAAAAATCCCCCAACGAAACTTAACCAAAATTCCCATGCCCATAACACAACCCACAAGGTACAAACATATCTACTCAAAATGAAAAACAACACAACAACACAATCACAAAACGGCAAAACAACAAAACTCCACAACCCCCCAACGAAACTTAACCAAAATTCCCATGCCCATAACACAACCCACAAGGTACAAACATATCTACTCAAAATGAAAAACAACACAACAACACACTCACAAAACGGCAAAACAACAAAACTCAAAAAAACCCCAATGAAACTTAACCAAAATTCCCATGCCCATAACACAACCCACAAGGTACAAACATATCTACTCAAAATGAAAAACAACACAACAACACACTCACAAAACGGCAAAACAACAAAACTCAAAAAACCCCCAACAAAACTTAACCAAAATTCCCGTGCCCATAACACAACCCACAAGGTACAAACATATCTACTCAAAATGAAAAACAACACAACAACACACTCACAAAACGGCAAAACAACTGAGCATGCGCATTGGCGCCCAGCCGCAAGTTCCCTGGCGCGCGCACACAGCCTTCCGGCCAACGTTCCCTCTGCGGAAGCCATGCCCGCTCCAAGCCCCGCCGCGCCCCTTCCCGCACACACACACCCCCTGCCGCATACACACACACAACCCCACGCTCCATCACGCCCCCCGCCGCCGCACACACACACGCAACCCCACGCTCCATCACTCCCCCGCCGCACACACACACGCAACCCCACGCTCCATCACTCCCCCCGCCGCACACACACACACCCCCCTCCCCCCGCCGCCGCACACACACACGCAACCCCATGCTCCATCACTCCCCCCGCCGCCGCACACACACACGCAACCCCACGCTCCACTCCCCCCGCCGCCGCACACACACACGCAACCCCACGCTCCATCACTACCCCCGCCGCCACACACACATACACAACCCCACGCTCCATCACTCCCTCCACCGCCACACACACACACAACCCCACTCCCCCCGCCGCTGCACACACACACACAACCCCACGCTCCATCACTCCCCGCCCCAATCTTACCTCCTTTTACTTCACGCCACCTCCAAACCCCCCCCCGCCCCTTCCCCCCTGTCAAAATCCAGGAAAGACAGGAAGGAAGGAAAGAAGGAAGAAAGAGAAAGGGAGGTAAAGAAAAAGGGGGAAGGAAGAAAGTTAGAGAAAGAAGGAAGAAGAAAAGGAAAGAAAAGGAAAGATGGAAGGAAAGAAAAGAGAGACAGCAGAAGAGAAAAAAAAGGGGGGAAGGAAGGAAGAGGTAGAGAAGGAAGAAATGAGAGACAGAGGGAGGGAAAGAAAAAGGGGGAAGAAGGAAGGAGAGAAGGAAAGAAAAAAGGGAATGAAGGAAGGAAAGAGGAAGTGAAGGAAGGGGGAAGATGTAGAGAAAGAGGGAGGGAAGGAAAGAAGGAAAGAGAGAAGGAAGAAAAGAGACCAGAAGAGAAAGAAAAGGGGGGAAGGAAGGAAGGAGAGAAGGAAAGAAAAAAAGGGAATGAAGGAAGGAAAGAGGGAGTGAAGGAAGGGGGAAGATGTAGAGAAAGAGGGAGGGAAGGAAAGAAGGAAAGAGAGAAGGAAGAAAGACCAGAAGAGAAAGAAAAAGGGGGAAGGAAGGAAAGAGATAGAGAAGGAAAGAAAAAAGGGAATGAAAGAAGGAAAGAGGGAGTGAAGGAAGGGGGAAGATGTAGAGAAAGAGGAAGGGAAGGAAAGAAGGAAAGAGAGAAGGAAGAAAAGAGACCAGAAGAGAAAGAAAAAGGGGGAAGGAAGGAGAGAAGGAAAGAAAAAAGGGAATGAAGGAAGGAAAGAGGGAGTGAAGGAAGGGGGAAGATGTAGAGAAAGAGGGAGGGAAGGAAAGAAGGAAAGAGAGAAGGAAGAAAAGAGACCAGAAGAGAAAGAAAAAGGGGGAAGGAAAGAGATAGAGAAGGAAGAGGAGAAGGAAAGATGGGAGGGAAGGAAGGAAGGAGGGAAAGAAGGAGAGAAAGAGGGAAGGTTGGCTACAGCAACACGTGGTGGGTAAAGGTTGTTATTTCTATTATTATTATTATTATTATTATTATTATTATTATTATTATTATTATGCTATTATTCCTATTAGACCCTGCGGGAATGGGAGAGGTGTCAGGTCCCAGAGGTAATGCATTGCATTATTGTTATTGTTATGATGGTGGTGAAATAAAAGGAAATAAAAAGAGAAAGAAGGAAGCAAACAGGGAGGGAAGAAAGGCAAAGGAAGAAAGGGGGAGGGAATGAAGGAAAGAGAGAAGGATGAAACCAAGTAGTGAAAAAAGGAAAGAAAGAAAGAGGTAGAGAAGGAAGAAAGGAGAGAAAGGGGGAGGAAAAGGGGGAAGGAATAGGTAGGTACCTCTCTTTCATAATAGTCCAGATATCTACCTCAACTTTGATAAGTTTTACTATAGGCCACAGCAACGCGTGGCAGGGCACAGCTAGTACAATATAATAACAATATAATACAATATAATATAATGTAATACAATATAATGCAATATAATATAATAAATACAATATAATACAATATAATATAATGGAAATATAATATAATATAATATAATACAATATAATAAAAACAATATAATACAATATAATCCAATATAATATAATGTAATACAATATAATACAATATAATACAATATAATCCAATATAATACAATATAATAAATATAATATAATATAATATAATATAATAACTAAAAATGTAATGTTCGTTTGTGGGATTAACATAACTCAAAAACCACTGGACGAATTGACACCAAATTTGGACACAAGACACCTCTCAGGCCAACGAGTGACCATCACTCAGAAATACACTGGGAAACACAGTGGAAGTGACTTTAAAGCCAAAAAGTAGAAAATGCATTGCAACGCATGAGCATAACCACACATATACACATATACACAAATATATACACACACATATACACATATATACACACACACAGCACGTATACACAGACTGGGCCACAGCAACGCATGGCAGGGGACGGCTAGTATATAATAATAAAAAAAATAATAATGAGATGGGTCATATACTATAATACAATATATTTTTTTTTAATCGTGTCAGGAGCAACTTGAGAAACTGCAAGTCGCTCCTGGTGTGAGAGAATTGGCCGTCTGCAAGGACGTTACCCAAGGGACGCCCGGATGATTTGATGTTTTTATCATCCTTGTGGGAGGCTTCTCTCATGTCCCCGCATGAGGAGCTGGAGCTGATAGAGGGAGCTCATCCGCCTGTCCCCGGATTCGAACCTGCGACCTGTCAGTCTTCAGTCCTGCCGGCACAGGGGTTTAACCCATAATATTATATAATAATATTATGGTATAGTATAGTATATTACTAGCTGTCTCCTGCTATACATTGCTGTGGTCCAGTCTGTGTATATGTGTGTTTTGAGTATGTGTGTATATGTGTATATATGTGTGTTTGCATATATACATGTGGTTTTTGAGTTATGTTAATCCCACAAACGAACATTACATTTTTATTTATATAGATAATATGTTTTATTATTATTATTATTATTATAAAATATAATAAAATTATTATTATTATTATTATTATAAAATATAATAAAATTATTATTATTAAATATAATAAAATGGAAGGAAAAAGGAAGAGGGGCCAACTAAGGGCGAGATGGATGGATGGCATCCTTGAAGGGACTGGATTGTCCTTGAAGGAGCTGGGGGTGGTGACGGCTGACAGGGAGCTCTGACGTGGGCTGGTCCATGAGGTCACAAAGAGTCAGAAACGACTGAACGAATGAACAACAACAACAACAACAACAACAACAACAACTATTATTATTATTATTATATTATTATTATTAATAAGGGGAACAGCAGGTACACAAGGGGAAGCACAGCCAGGCTGTTCACACTATTATAGTTGTTGGCAGATGGTAATTTTGTCAACGCCGATTGTGTTTAAGTGCAGGCCAAGGCCTTTAGGCACTGCACCCAGTGTGCTGATCAC